ATAATTATGGGGCTACGCTCTGCGAGCTCCGCTAATAATTTAACTTATTCTCATTTCTTCGAAGTGAAAACTTATGATTTCTATTAAAGGTGGTAACTTATTGTTGGGTGTTATTTCCCTGTTTGGAAAGACTGAAACAAGCAATGTATAGATAAGACTAATTATTCAAATTACAATTAATTGAACGACCCCAGGAGCCCATGCGTTATTGTGATGGCCCCCTGACGACCGCACTCGTTCACCAGTTTAAATATGCAAAAAGTGGTAGTGATCAGACTGAAAATTAGCATAAATTATGCACAATACATCGTGTACAAACAAGAATAGTTATTAATTGGTGTGTGTGCTCGTTCCTGCTTTAAAATGGCTGATCAAGGTAAAAAAAAGACCCAAGCTATATCAAACGAGAAATATAGGGACGTGCTCTTAACAACGACAAACCAGCTGCGAAAAGAAGGAGTCCTTTGCGATGTTCGACTTCTTGTGGGAGATCAAAGTTTTCTCGCTCATCGCAGTATTCTTGCCGCCAGCAGCCCGTATTTCCGAGGTTTATTCACCAACGATATGAAGGAAAAAGATCTAATGGAGTGCAGACTTGACCAACTGCAAGCCTCTGTCATGGAACCTCTCCTTGGTTATTTATACACCGGCAATGTGACTCTTGACGAAGAAAACGCAGAGAGCCTCGTGGCAGCGGCCGATTATCTGCTCATTCAGAGCCTCAAAGATATTGGGTGCGAGTTTTTAGAAGGTCTGCTTTCTCCATCAAAATGTTTCACCTTGAGAGATTTTGCTGAGAAATACAGCTGCGATTCTCTGAAAAGCTCTGCCACGCGCTACATTGTGAAACACTTTAACGATGCCTGTGATACAGAAGCTTTCAAATCGGTGGAGTACAGAGTTTACATCGAAATAATCGCGCGCGACGATCTCGAAGTTTCGTGCGAGGAAGATGTGTATGAGACGCTGATCAAGTGGGTGAAGCACGATTTGGAAACTCGGAAAGAGTATTTCGACGAATTATTCAGCAAAATTCGCTTGTCTTCGTTATCGAGGCATTACTTGATTAATCAAGTGGAAAAAGAAGAGCTGGTCAGCGAGAGTTTTTATTGCACAAAGCTTGTGGTGAAAGCTCTGAACGCGTTTATTCTCCACGAGTATGACGATCGCGAGTGTGCTCGAAATAATCTCAAAAGATATTTGGATGTCATCACAGTGTGCGGCGGGAATTTGTGCAAAGAGGCGACCTGTTATTCTCCGGCAAAGAAAAAATGGCTGCCTTTTGCAGACATGTTGAAGGCGCGCGACGAACACTGTACGGCTGTTCACGACAATGTCCTTTATGCGTTTGGCAGCACACAGACTGAGAACGGCCAGTCGGTCGAACAGTATAATGCGCACACTAACTCCTGGATAGCGGTGGCAAACATGCCTCAGATGCGCTGCGCAGCAACCGCTGTCACGTGCGGAGATCACATCTTTATCATTGGAGGAAGAATACCAAACGGTGGCGGTTCCACCAAACAAGTCATGCGCTACGATGCCGATATCAACAAGTGGTTTATTGAGACGTCCATGTCTGTCAAACGTGCTGGTCTCTGCTCAGCAGCCTGTGACGGTCTCGTATACGCAATCGGTGGTTTGAGCGACAGGAACGAGTTTCTGCGTACAGTTGAACGATACGACCCGCGAAAGAAGGTATGGAGTGACGTCACGCCCATGCAAGTCGCGCGGTATTTCGCGTGCGCAGTGGAGATGAACGGCAAAATATTTGTAATTGGTGGCCAGTCCTCCAGCGGCGCGTATCTGTCCTCGTGCGAAGCGTTAGATCCTTCCACGGAGGAATGGGCCTCGCTACCAAACATTTCTGTCTCTCGACAAGCGGCCGGAGTAACAAGACTTGGATACCGGATTTACTTGTTTGGAGGCTGTAATAACTCGGGCAGTCTGGACAGTGTTGAATGTTACGACGACAGGAAGCGAAGCTGGGAAGCAATCGCGAGGATGCCCTGTAAAAGATCTTGGGTACAGTGTGGCGTGCTTCGTGTGGCCAAAGATCTTTTCGAACTCAACTAATCAAATTGAAGACATCGTAACACACGATTATTATATCGACCTCCTGAAACAAGACACAGGAATGGAATATACTGGAAAAACTAGAACACTTTACCCTCGAAATGAAGCAAACCAAGGAATGACTAATTTGATGGAATTTAAACGGAGATTGGTTCAAGTGAAGAAATGACAAGGAAAAGATAAACAAAAGTTGGACAAGCAATTTCCAAATAGCAATTCTCGTCAATTTTTTGCCTAAAATCCAGTCCCACTCCGATTTTAACTTTTAACTTGTAATTTCAAGTTGGACTATTCCGAGTCTCTTTTGTCGTATAAGAATTAGGGTTCTTAACCCTTTAACTCCCATGAGTGACCAAGACAGAATTTCTCCTTACTATATCTGTACAATATCATGCAGACAAGTTATGAGAATGAAGAAAAATATCAATTATGGAATTACTAATTGATCCGATACCAAATTCTCCAAACTGACATAATGAGAATCATTTGGCAGACGATAAGGAGAATTACTAATGAGATCTTGTAATCAAGAAATAGCTCCTTAAATTGTATTAAGTGTCACTTGAACCAGGCTAGCAGTATTCTTAGATTTTAAGGGGGGCTCCGAAACTCTTTTTTGCTCAAGGAAACGAATTTGCTCGTGACTCGAATTTATCGACTCAAAGGGGAGATTGTAACATAAAGGGTAACTGATAGCGATGTATTTAAATACAATTCATCATGCACAATAACTAAGCAATGGATGTATTTCTCACGGTCGTTGACGAGGCGCGACTGTTAACGGAACGTGGGATGCTGGTGAAAAGTGTCCGATTTTGGGCACTAATGTCCTTTTATAGACATTAGTGTGCAATTTCGGACACTAGTGTCCGATTTTTGAGACTGGTGTCCGATTTTAGCCCCTAATGTCCTATTTCGAACAATAGTGTTTGATTTTGGAAACTGTTGTTGGGTTTTTGCTGACCTATGTCCGATTTTAGGCATTAGTGTCCAATATTAAAGTAGTAGTGCTAGATTTTATACGCTATTGTCTGATTTTGGATACTTATGTCCAATTATAGACACTAACGTCTGATTTTCGAAACAAGTGTCCGACTACAGACACGAGTGTCCGATTTTGGACATTAGTAACCGATTTTGGACGTTAGTGTTCGATTTTAGACACAAACATACGATTTTAAAATTAAGTGTCCGATTTCAAACACTAATGTGCGATTTTCGATACTAGTCTACCATTTTCGACATTTTAGACAATGGCGTCTGATTTTGTACACAAGTATCCGATTTTGAACACTAGTGTCCAGTGTTAGATACTAGCGTGCGATTTAAGACACCAGTGTCCGATCTTAGACACAGTGTCCGATTTCAGACTCTACCACCCGATTTAAGCACTGTTGTGCAATCTTAGATACAGTATTCAATTCAATTTTAGGCACTAGAATCCGATTTCAGACACTTAATGTCCAATTCTGAGCATAAGTGTGAACCTTTAGAAACTAATGTCCGATTTTGGATATTTGTTTTCAATTTTAGGCACTAGTGTACCATTCTAGACAAGTATTTAATTCTTGACACAAGTGCTGGTGCTGGTGTCCTATTTAACACACTAGCTTCACATTTTGGACACCAGCGTCCAATTTAAGACCCAAGTGTCCGATCTTAGACACTAGTGTCCGATTTTGGACACTGGTGTTGGATTTTAGACACACGTGTTCGATTTGAGACTCTAGTATTCGATTTTGGACACCAGTGTTCGATTCTAGACTCTAGTGTTCGATTTTAAACAATAGTGTTCGATTTCACACACTAGTGTTCGATTTTAGACACTAGAGTTCGATTTTAGACACTAGAGTTCGATTTAAGACACTTGTGTTTGATTTGAGAAACTAGTGTTTAATTTTAGACACTTGTGTTTGATTTTAGACACTTATGTTCGATTTTAGACACTGGTGTTTGATTTTGGACACTAGTGTTCAATTTTAGACAGAATTGTTCGATTTGAGACACTAACGTTCGATCTTAGACACTTGTGTTTGATTTGAGACACTAGTGTTCGATTTTAGACTCTTGTGTTTGATTTGATACACTAGTGTTCGATTTTAGACACTTGTGTTTGGTTTGAGACACTGGTGTTCGATTTTAGACACTTATGTTCGATTTTAGACTCTTGTGTTTGATTTTGGACACTAGTGTTCAATTTTAGACACACGTGTTCGATTTTACACACTAGTGTTCGATTTTACACACTAGTGTTCGATTTTACACACTGTTGTCCGATTTTAGACACTAACGTTCTTAGACACTAATGTTTGATTTTGGACACTGGTGTTCGATTTTAGACACAAGTGTTTGGTTTTAGACACTAAAGTTCCATTTTAGACACTAATGTTCCTTTTAGACGCTAGTGTTTGATTTTAGACACTAGTGTTTGATTTTAGACACTGGTGTTCGATTTTAGACACAAGTGTTTGGTTTTAGACACTAGTGTTTGGTTTTAGACACTAAAGTTCCATTTTAGACACTAATGTTGCTTTTAGACGCTAGTTTTTGATTTTAGACGCTAGTGTTTGATTTTAGACACTGGTGTTCGATTTTAGACATTAGTGTTTGGTTTTAGACACTAGTGTTTAATTTTAGACACTGGTGTTCGATTTTAGACATTAGTGTTTGGTTTCAGACACTAAAGTTCCATTTTAGACGCTAATGTTCCTTTTAGACGCTAGTGTTTGATTTTAGACAATAGTGTTTAATTTTAGACACTGGTGTTCGATTTTAGACACTAGTGTTTGGTTTCAGACACTAAAGTTCCATTTTAGACTCTAATGTTCCTTTTAGACGCTAGTGTTTGATTTTAGACACTAGTGTTTAATTTTAGACACTGGTGTTCGATTTTAGACACAAGTGTTTGGTTTTAGACACTAAAGTTCCATTTTAGACACTAAAGTTCCATTTTAGACACTAAAGTTCCATTTTAGACACTAATGTTCCTTTTAGACGCTAGTGTTGATTTTAGACACTAGTGTTTAATTTTAGACACTGGTGTTCGAATTTAGACACTAGTGTTCCATTTTAGACACTAGTGTTCGATTTTAGCCGCTAGTGTTCGATTTGAGACGCTAACGTTCGACTTTATACATTAGTGTTCGATTTTAGACAGTTGTTCGATTTGAGGCACTAAAGTTCGATCTTAGACACTAGTGTTTGATTTTGGACACTAGTGTTTAATTTTAGACACTAGTGTTCGATTTTAGACATTAGTGTTCGATTTGAGAGACTAGTTCCATTCTAGACACTAATGTTCCATTTTAGACACTAGTGTTCGATTTTAGACACTAGAGTTTGGTTTTAGACACTAATGTTCCTCTTAGACACTGGTGTTCGATTTTAGACTCTAGAGTTTGGTTTTAGACTCTAATGTTTCATTTTAGACACTAATGTTCCATTTTAGACGCTAGTGTTCGTTTTTAGACACTAGTGTTTGGTTTTGGACACTAATGTTCCATTTTAGACACTAATGTTCCATTTTAGACACTAACGTTCCATTTTAGACACTAATGTTTCATTTTAGACACTAATGTTCCATTTTAGACACTTACGTTCCATTTTAGACACTAATGTTCGATTTTAGACACTAGTGTTTGGTTTTGGACACTAATGTTCGATTTTAGTGACTATTGTTCCATTTAAGACACCAGTGTTCGATTTTAGACGCTAGTGTTCGATTTTAGACGCTGATGTTCGATTTATGACACTGGTGTTCGATTTGATACACTTATGTTCGATCTTAGACACTAGTGTTTGATTTTGGACATTAGTGTTTAATTTTAGACACTGGTGTTCGATTTTAGATACTAATGTTCCGTTTTAGCTGCTAGTGTTCCATTTTAGACGCTAATGTTCCATTTTAGGTATTAATGTTCCATTTTAGACACTAGTGTTTGGTCTTAGACACTAATGTTCCATTTTAGAAACTAATGTTCTATTTTAGACACTAATGTTCCATTTTTGACACTGGTGTTCGATTTGAGACCCTAATATTCGATCTTAGACACTAGTGTTCGATGTTTGACACTAGTGTTCGATGTTTGACACTAGTGCTCGATTTTAGACACTAGTATTCGATTTTAGACGGTAGCGTTCGTTTTTTGACACTGTTGTTCGATTTGAGATACTAATGTTCGATGTTAGACACTAGTGTTCGATTATAGGCACTAATGCCCGATTTAGACATTTTTGCTCGTACTCCATTTTTGCTCTTACCCCATTTTTGCTCCTACCCCTCCCTTGTACCCTTCAAACTTACCACGTGTTAAAAAAACGCACACTTCTTATGGAAAATTGTCCAAACTCGGCTACCGGAAAATAGCACCAGTGCCACAATGTCGATAGATTGCATCGAAAATTTTGCTTAATTCCTCGATACTGGAAAAAGACTCTGTTACAACCAAAACATAATCTTAAATTTACGGCACCACCCGTGTAGTAATGTTGATTTTCATCGACTCTTCCCCTCCTCTGCCCTCTCGTGCCTCTACCTATCATGGATATCGCGCTTGTATACAAATGATAATTGTCAAATTTTGAGATAAGGTTTTAGAAATATCAGCATGAATCAGCATTTTCTCGATAGGGCGCAGTTTTTGACTTGAGCTAGTCGGTCTATTGATAATAGTTCCCCTTTCCCCTCCATCAAGAAAGGAGATCAGAGGGAGGCTCAAGCTAAGAAACTTCGCTCGATTTGAATCAGCATTTCCATGTTTACCCTGGGCGATTTCAAGAGCCTCAGAGCTTTACTCTCACAAATTCTTTTCAAACATCACCGGTTTAATTTGAAAGTGGCGTTATCCGTTATCGAAATTTTCAGAGGTAGTATGGTCGAGGCTTAAGAGCGTTCATATTTGTCGGTTATTTTGTTATTTTGTGAGTGGTCTTCATTTTAGTTAAACCCGACAGGAAACAACGTCAAGAAATTCTACGCTTTTTGAATATTCATAAACCCCGGGCGTTTTTAAACTCATGCTCTTAAAGAGTTAATTCAAAAAGCTCCAGATTTATTGAGGACTGTAGATCTAACCTTACAAAAGTTTTAAAAAAAGATTGTCCGGGGTGGTTTGATTGAAGCTATTCTCGTGAATACTCGACTTACGCAGGCTGTTGTGAGCCTCCGCGCGAATCATAGCTTGAAAAAGAATAGTTGACTCAAAATAACAGCTAATTCAGCGTGCACTTTTGTTCATTTGTTTACAGGTTTGTCAGACAACAATGATTCCAGTGATCTGTCGTGGACGTAAAGTGATATAACTTAATTAAGACGTCGTTAGGAGTTTATTTTGGACAAAGTGCCTTTCGACAAGACAGTAACATGTGTATTTCAAGAGTGCGAATCGCGCGGAGTTTCTCTGAAATCTGCACCATTTGTGGAACACCTGGGTTCTTCGAAGTCGTTTCACAAAATTTGTATATAATTTGTAAAAACCTTTGTTTGAAATCCTTGAGAGTTTAAGAGAGCCTTGAATAACAACAAAAGCGTACTAAAATTTCCATGAGAGCAAGACTAAAGTTGGATCTCTTCAAAGAACGTATTTTCCCAACAAGAACAAAATGGCACTGGGGTTGTCTTTCTCCTAACAACCTTTTATTACTACCCAGGTAATGTTTGGGCGTAGAGTTTCACCTGGATGTGTGTCTTCGTTTTATTGGCGTACTGTTTAATAAACTTAATGTTGTTTACAACCTTTGTTGAGTCTTTGAAAACAAAAGGCCAGAAAAAGGTTCGTGCCTCGGCCGAAGATTGCTAACAATGGAGAAACTTGGCTTCCTGAAGTCGATTCTTTGCAAAGATGAAAGGTTTCTTATGGTAGAAAGCGAACACCTAATCTGCATTACACGGTTTTGAAATTGAACAAAAGTTGTCGGAGCTATTTGGCATTTTCTAATGATAATTAGCGGTCATTTCATATGGATATGGAAATATCAATTTGAAAGCAATCCTAGAATTATCCATGTCGGACTAACAGATAAAACTTTGTTTTTTCATTTACACAAATGATAGATATATGAGACTGCGTCGCGGACATGGTGAAAGAATTTAAAGAAGATTTTAGCGCGGTTTCGGTAAAAATTGATTCTAATAGGGTGTATGAATGTCAGGTTTTTTAAGTAGCTTTTAGAGCATAATTATTATCTTGAGAAGAAATGATAATTGAAAAATATATACGCGACTAGAAATGCACTGCGGTTTCCGTACAGTTTAGGAGTCAACTGGACGAACTTTACTCGACTTTTAACACGTAAAAAATCAAAATTGAACAGAATTGTTGTTTATTTTGTTATTCAAAAGATGAATCCCTCTTACAACAGATGAATGAACAGATAAAGTCATAAGCTAAGTGAAAAAGATTTGGATGTGTTTTCAAATCGATCTTCGAAATAAAAAATTTATTGAATTTCGATTTTTTTTTAAAAAAATTGATAACGACAAATTGTTTGTCGAAGAGATTTTAGGATCACGAGACAAATCAGCCATACATTAGGGCTCTGTCAGGTAATGTGTTTCAAATTGGTCGTAACATATGTGCAATTTCCTGAGTCCTCTTAGCCTAATTACGATGGCTTTTCTTTCTACAGCGTATTTATATCTCGCCTGCGGGAATCACTGAAAATTAAGCATGGCGGTGTCCGACAAAAAATTCTCATAGAAATCGCTTTCTTTTCTCTAACTCGCGGTAAAGGAGATCGGATTTCCTACTGTTAAGAGAATAAACACCATTTTATTCCACGTCATTGATTATGGTCGGACGCAGTCATAAACGACAACCTCACTACTTTACAAAGAAATTCAGAAGGTATGGTCGAATCATATTTCTGACGCCATGAATCCGTAAGAGCTCATGTAAGTGTAGTTTGCAAAAGCAATTTCTTTAATTTATAGGAAGGAAATATCGCTCGCTTATTCATTTTGGGATTTCTAAAAACCTATTTCCCCCAATATTAGGCCGTTTAATTGTTCAAGCCGTTTTTGATGTATATTTTTCATTTCGGGTGATATCGTCAACATCTGTTCTTCTTTTATTTAAGGTGCTATTTCTTTCTTAAAGGACAAAACAAAGAAAATAAAGCCAGTGACATTATTTTCAATTCTGCAATATCAACTTCCTTTCAAATCGTTTTTCAATCGTTTTTTCTGTAGGTTAGTGAAGGCTCTACCGACCAAAACAGCCTGTTGGAAGTGAAAATTCGTGTTACATAGAAGGAACTAGTAAGAACTTTCACCCATTTTACGAGTGACTGATTCCTGGTATTTTATTAAAATCCTGTTAAATTTACGAATGATACTAGATCCAGAAAGATGGAATAAACAGATATTCAAAGCTACTTCTTTAAATTGAATTCTCTCTTTTTTTTTTTATTCCAGCCAAGAATGCCTGAATTAAGAAGCCTTACATGAAACAAAGCTCTGAAATGCGTGTCTAAACACTTTGTATTATAGCCCCTTTCCCGCTGTTTCGCCAGAGATTTCTTCATGTGTCTTTTGACTGTTTTTTTTCTCTCAGATTTGCATCTGTAAGCAATATAATTCACTTTGTTCTAATGATAAAGTGGGCTTTAAAAAATGCTGATATTTATTCCTTCAGATTGCCGAGGGTCACAAAGCCGAAACAAAAGTCTGTGAATTTTCTCAGTGAAACAGGGCTGCCGACTGAGATGAATACAGCAATTTAACAGTGTGTCGCCACCTCTTGTTTTGTGTTATATCAGTTCTTTTCAAGTGATATTGAGATTTTAATGATAATCACATGAAGATGCGTCATAAAAACACATGTAGCTATCTCTCGCAGCACAAAACATAGTGTTTTAAACAAGTCTATTCATTAACAAACAAAAGGCTCAAGTTTCGCAGCCCAAAACTAAGGGCTGAAAATGTAAAGATATTTTCTACGTGTTTTTTTTTTTTTCAAAGAAAATGACACTGCCAAGAAATACGAAAATCATATTACTTATTTGTTACAAATGCAAACTCAAAGACAATTCTCTCTCGCTGTAAAGTTTCCTCTTAAACTTTCTACTCTTAATCTTTTCCTTGACAATAACTTTCATCAGTAGTAAATTGAAAAACAAAGTATGTCGTCTGGTAACAGTGTAAAAAGTAATTCTAATATATCTATAAGTAATTCTATATATGTGTGTGTGTGTGCGTGTGCATATATTTATGATTTGTTACGGAGTCAAGAAAGTGAAGAACGCCCGATTCTTATTTGCATGAACTCCGCAGTAACATTTATCAGTTAACTGACTATATCGGGCAGCAATTTTAAAAATTATCTTATTTGCAGTTTCAGAGAGCTGACAAATCTAATCTACCAAATCGAATCTGAAGTTTTGAGCATCTCTTAACTGATAATCAAGGCAAATGATCACAATATTTAGCTGAATAAATGAATTAAGATTTCAGCCTCAACTTACTCAAGGCCGAAGAACAATTTGTCTGGAGATAAGATAAGCAGAGTTTGTTTGGAGATGAAATAAAAAGGAGAAATCTAGTCACATGGAGAGATCATTTTTTCCCAGTGCATTTATTCAGCCCCGGCAGGGTAACAAAAATTAATTACAAAGAAACTACACTAAGGCACGCCCCTTCTTTGCTTGGAACAGGCCAAAATGGCTTCGCTTGCCACGTTTTTTACTAGTGCCAAACAAGGAACAGTTTTTCTCCTCCTTTTAGATAGATCCTCAAGATGGTAAATGTCTTCCACGTAATTAGGCGTTACTGTTGAAAAATTGTTGAAAATAGTCTCGGTGATTTCTCAGAAGGTTTATAAAATTTAACCTAAGAGAGAAAGGTGCACAATTTAGCGGATGAACGGTGTTTCGTGCGCACGAAATACGCGCGTATTACACGCGTGTGAGATAAGGTTGGATTGTTACTTTTAATCCTCATCTCTGTTAAGAAGTCTGTTGGTCGACTCTTTTGTTCTTTTTCGGGCAAGAAAAAAATGAAGGTAACAACAGAAATACTAGATTTTTCGCAGCTATAAGGTCTGGGGATCGACTAACATCACAGTGGTACAGCCGGCTTAACATTAAACTTCCATTAAAAAATATATGTTGCTGGCCCTTTGGCCCAAACTTTGCATCTAATTTCTCCCCACAATACCACCCCTAAATCAGACGTTAAGGTCAGGAGAATAAATGAAATGATCAACAACTAAAGAGGCTTTTAGTGTTAAACAAATTCTCCTTGTCAGCAACTTAGCAAATGTCTAGAGAACACTTTGGAGAATATGTATACTAATGTTAGGGTGTGAGGGTTTTTAAAGCATCACATCGCAAATCACAAATGTTTAAGCATTATTTTTCAAATGGATAACTCCTTTACCGAATCTGTCACTCATATATTCTGGTTAAACCTAAAAGAGTTTGCCAAAACATTGTTGAAATACAATTGTCATGATCTTCACCATCATCATCGTTAACGTTTTCGTCATCGTCGTTATCTAGATCTCCTTATGATTGTCATTATCATCGTCTTATACAGCGTCTTCATCGGCCTCTCTGCTTTCGTTCTCATCGGGTTTGTCTTCGTCGTTGCAGCAAAAAGCGATCATCAAGTTTAGTTCCTGTGTGAAGAAGAACATGAATGCTTGGTTCCTTTTTTTAACTACACAGAGTCGAGGTTGAGCCATTTTAGAAGCCACGTGGATTATAGCGCGAGAGAGGGTGTTCTTGGCCGGTGGCCACACCCTCTTAACCTCTCCCTACTCCACTTCCCCCTTCCCCTCGATCAAAATTTCTTGTTGGGTTTCATGGCGATATAACTGTTGTCGCTTATATAACTGGGTTGAGAGAGGCGCAGTGAGAGAGTAGCGGGTTCTTAAACGCAAAGCTATTCATCATGCTTCCACCAGAGCTACACGACCAGACCTTTTTCTCTCCCTTTTGCCAGAGAGTCTCGCCTCGCACATGTCAAGCAGGAATCAAATGTGATCATGAAGACGTAGAAGGAATGTTTTAGCAGTTAGTAATCTCAAGCATTTCCCATCCAGTTTAAGAGGAGATCAAGGAATTCAATCCATCAGGATGGTGCCTGAATGTGTTTAGATTCGAAACTTCAACCCCAAATTCATGTTGATCAAATTCCTTCGATTAATTCTATGGTATTATTGTTATCAGCTTCTAACAAGTAACAGAATCGGTTTTAGGTCCTTAACATTCTAATGAAAACGAAAATCTATAGATTTAGAACAGTTAATAATGACCCTTAACACTCAGTTAGACATCAGCAAAAGTCAAACTTCTAAGAGTTCGATAATTAAACTGACCTGTAGAATTTTTGCTGTTCTGTTTTCGTTTTGTGTTCTTTTTTCATTGCGCTCTTCTTTTTTTATTTGTTTAGTTTCTTGCTTGCATTTGTTTACTTTGTTGAGAATTTATAATACTCCACTGGAGAGTGGTGCGAGAAATGTTAGGAAAAAAAATAATCTTGATTTTTCTCGGTCATACAAAGAGGTGAACAAAAACTGTATTGGGGCATCTCACGCCCCTTTCAGGCCCTTCTAACAATAATGAACATATTTTTTCAGTCTCCCGAAATAAGGGAGAGATGTCTTTCGACCAGTAGGAAGAGGAATATGTTCAGTTCGTAATTCTGAAAATTTTAGTTCAACTCTCTCCGGTTTATTAAATCGATTTTCTCTTGAAAATGCAGTTTTTCCATGGCTATAGCTGACGCGTTCTTATTAGTAAGATATGAAATGTTTGTTCTACATGAAAAATTTAAACTTCAACCTGAGTAAAACACAAAACTTGAAATCTACCTCACAAAGATATGACCTAAATTTAATTACACGCAATTAGACTGGCTATATAAAGAATTATGTTTGCAACTAGATTTCCCATCAGTTGATCAGTGCCAAGGAAATGTCAAAAATACGGGAAATATTCAGTTTTCGAAAGAAGAATATCAAATTTGTTGCACGTTTCGAATTGTTATCTTGCATCACTGACAAATTTATAGAAAGCGAAAATATATCTATGATCGCTGCAATTGTCAAAGCCTTAGTTAGTTCAAGATTCGTCTGCAATGGTCGGAGATGATACCATGAAATTATATTCCTTGTTAAAGTTGTGCTCAAGAAAAGGCATAATTCAAAATCTTTATCAAAATTTACCGCGAAGGCTTGCAATTTTTTTCTTTTGGCTTGTTCGAAAGTAAGCAGTCACACGGCGGTTTTAGATTTCTTTTTAATCCCGTTAGAAAGTTAGGAAAAATTGAAAATAAACAAGGCTTAAAGTTAATTAAAAAGTCGGTCAGCAACTTTGAATTTTAAATTTGTCTTCCCTTTAATATTTCTGTTATCGCTGTATTTTTTCTCGCCTGATGTTGATTAAAAGATAACACCTTGATTAATGGTATTTTCAGATATAGGAAGAGCTTAGAAAACCCATCGGAAGCTACTCTCGCCACATCGGCCGATTTTAATGCGGAAAAAAAACTTTTGAATTCGTTAAAAGCCAAAGTGCTAAAAGACGCTAAAAGGCTATTATGATTCAAAATCACAGACATGTTCTGGCATATCTAAGAAACATCGAATTTTGGCACTTCGTCTATTTCATACTTATTTGGGAGATACCACTGAAAATCTCTGGCCAAGAATCACCTACAAAACAAACAGAACTTACACCTTATAATTAAAAACTCATTTGACTTGAAGAAGTGTTTGCGAACTTCGCCCGCAAGCACAGGTGAAGGAAATGCGTAGTTTGGCCTTATCTTGATGGAGATAACACGAATCGTGCGAATCTTAAGCATATCGCGTGTGAATCGATTTCATTAACTGCACGCGTATTGGCGCACCGCGCGCGCGTGCTGTTGACAATACGTCAGTTTTACTTCCATCCCGACTGCCATTCATAAGGCGATGGGCGCACTGATAAGACAGTAAATGGGGTACAAGCCGAGAGCGGTTCCGACCTGACAATCAATACTTTTTATAGCCGCTATCGAAAGCTTTTGTACAAGAAATGAAACTATAAGCTTCCAAAAAGCTTGGAAGCGTGAATTTTTATCTCAATATCTGTCCATTCTTCTTAGACGAGTCTTAATACAATATATTTTTTTTGCAGTGAAACGTGGAATAGCTATTAAACTAGTGGATCCAAAGAAACAAAATTCTTCGGTGCATAAATTTTACGGGATATATTTCCTACTCTGAAATTTAATAAGTGTAAATAAAAATTTTTCTTTACTCTCCTCTAAATCGTGAACAATCTAATCACTTCATCGCGAATGCTGAACATTAAGAAAGATTTGGCAGGTTTGAAAAAAGAAATTTACCATAACACACTCTATATCAGTTCGATAAAACCATATCACAGAAAGTACTTCAAAAAGAAATACGAATCGGGCTTACTACTTTATCGTCCTTAATTCCAGTTCATCTACGATCGACATGCAAGATTCACAGACCTTCCAAAATCTCATCTTAATTCTTGTTCACGTAAGCGAAAATAGATTTATTTCGTTTTATTCCGCTCAACAAAAATAAACGGCAAGGTACAGTTCAGTGTTCTGACTCCGCGATAGCGATCCACGAAAGTGTCAATCCAAAAAATAGTGCTCATGTCGTTGATAAAATGAAATAAATTTGACTGTGTAAATACTGTTTTGGCTTCAATAAGTTGTCCTCTGTTCTTGCCTATACACACTTCAGTCTTCGCATCGAGGATTAAGATTCCATCGGGTTCGTGGGCAGGGATTTTGACATATTCCGAAAGATTAAGCGACTTTCCGACTTCTTGTGCTAAATATGTACCATTTGTGTGTCACAGTACATTACACAGTACCTTACATTCGTGAAAACTGAGCGAGATCCCTTTTTTAGATTTTCAGAAATGGAAAATTTGTTATTTCCCTTCTTAGTACTCAGTAACATTTTGTTCTTCAGAATACAGATTTTTTTTCATTTCCTTAAATAATTAATGTTGCATCAAGGAGTTTCTCGAGGCGAACGAAAAACAAAATCTACCAGTTTGACTGAATGAAATCACTTGTCGCTGTCATTGTGAATTCTATTCGAGCACCGAAAAGTTCGACAAAAACCTGTGCCTTTCTTGCCACACGACAGCTTTTCTCTGAATAAAGAAGTCACAGATCTAAGAGGTCGGCTATTTTGCTGCGCGAAATCGAGAGGCGCAGCCGTTTTTTATCACAGAATGTCGTCTTCGTGTCTAAGGACTTGCCCTCTCTCGTGGCCTTTTGGGTAAAAAGGATGCTCGGTATGTCTTTCCCGCACGAAACCATATTTATTTTATAATCTGTTTGTGGACTAACCCCTTTTTGGTTTCCATTTTGTGAAAAGGAGAGGAAATTTTATCAAAACATTTCAATGTTAAAGGGATTTGACATGAAATAGAGTGTTTTGTTTTATGGTTAGTGGTGAGACTAGCACCAAATTTTGTGTTTCGAGGGAAAACATATTTCAAAGGGACGAGCTAGTATTTGCGAATTAAAAAATATATATATATATTTCTAAACATGGTTAG